AATCCTTATAACAATCTTCAAAATTTATGATTAAAAACGCATTGAGAATGCAAAAACAAAAAATCCATTACTTCAGAATTTGTAAACTACTTCGAAAAAGTACTAATTACTTCAAAAATAACACATCGTAATAAAATTCATCGGAGAATTTCCCCGTGTACAAAACATGATGATGTTATAATAACTGAAGAAAATATAATTAGGGTTATTTTGAACCTATATTTTTAAAAATCTCCTGACTTTTTTGGTATCTCAGCAGAACATTTGAAATACACAAATTGTGGTAACAAAATTTAACAAAATGGCTCATCAAATTTTTTAATTCTTCCATTAATTATGGATGGACACCATTATCAATATCAACGTTTATTATTGTACCCCTTGTTAAATTGTATAAAAAATCTTTAGATAACCCAAGCAGTTATCGCGGTATTAGCATTATACCAATTTTTACAAAGGTTCTAGAATACCTAATCCTAATTATATGTCCGAATATTTGAGATACTCACCCCCTACAATTTGGATTCAATGCTAACTGTTTAACGCTACATGCTGAATTTCTAATTAACAAAACAACTAAACATTAAAATAGCAACGATTCACCTGTGTATGTATGCTCTTTAGATGCAGAAAAAGCTTTTGATAGCTGCAACTGGGATATCCTATTTGATAAATTATATTTTGATAAAAAATTACTACTCTGTATAGTTAACACTATCTCTTCGTTTTTTAACAATAGCAGTGCAACAGTCTCATATTAAGGTTGTAAATCAAACTAATGCAAGGAGTAAGACAAGGATCAATTTTTTCGCCTCATCTATATAATATTTATACATTGAAAGTCTTTTTGAAACTATTACAAATCAAGGTACTGTTGGCACATTTATATATAGTAGCTTCACTGGTGTGGTGGCATATGTGGATAATATCATACTTTTAAGCTCTACCCTCTCTGGTCTCAAAAAGCTGATAAAAACATGCAATATTTACAGTAGTTTAAACTGTATTAAAATAAATGCCAAAAAATCTGAATTCTTGATTTCAGGTTAAGCATAAATACGATACGATAGCGATTTCTAGTAATGAAGTGAATCTTCAGAACAACATCTGGGATTCAGAACTCGGACATCTGGGATTCACATGGGATACTAAACATTTAACTTTTGCTTCACTCAATAATACAAAAGTTGTTGAAAAAATTTCAAACTTTAGAGCTGTTGTTCAAATCTTATTCAATTTGGAATCCGGTTTGCCTACTTAAGTTCTATTTCCTATATATATAAATTATTGGCAGTATCTACCTTAACTTATGGTATGGAGCAATGTGAAAATAAATCTGCTTTGATGAAAAAGCTAAATGTAATTGGAATGAGTGCACTAAAATTGCTTTTAAATGTTTTAAAATACAGTAAGAACTTTAAAAATTCGCTATTTAAAATCCAGAAAGTTTCAAAAAGTATTCAATAAATTAAACTTGTTTCTTTGTCTTCTTAATAATAAAACAACTTCAGACATTATTTTTTTTCACATTTGAAACACCCCTTATTTAAACATTCACTTGTTGGCGATATCCAGGACTAATTCTGTTTTCTGATGCTAAATTTTCAAAATTTAATTCAAAATTAAAAAAAGACAAAAATAGCACTTTCTAAAAGTGAAATTCCCTCCAAAGTTGAACAAACTTTGAAATATGCAATAGAGTGCTGGAATGTAAAAGTTAAACATACTTTGAAATATGCAATAGAGTGCTGGAATGTAAAAGAGCAAAGAGGAATTTTTAAACAAATTCCGAAAGAAAAAATTCTTAAATGAAAATCACGAGAAATAACTTTCTTATTTTTCTTTTTACCTAGTAAATTACATTAGGTGTTGAATTTAAAAAAATTATAATAATAACAATAATAAACTCATAAACAAAAATTATTGGTTTAAGTAATTAATTACTACAAATTTACCAATTAAACCCTAAACCATTTGACGTCATGCAACATTCTTGTATTTTCCTAAATAAATTTACAGTATATGAAAAACAGGAAATAAATAAAAAAATTCCTATGTTGAAAAATCTAATTACTGTTTCTCTAAGCTAAAAAATTAAAACATATTTATGATGTAATTTTAAAAAAATATTGTTATTTTCTGATATAAGATAAGAATTATTCCTAAAAAAGACAAAAAGGTATTGTATAATTATTATTTATAAACAATTAACATGTCAATTATCTAAAGTAGCGACTACTAGAAAGTTAGAAAGAAAGTGAGTATCTATTTTCTTAGCAATATTCTAATTTGGCATGCCATCATTTGCATCGGCAATAACAACAGATGATTTTCTTGGAGTAATGTCTTTCTTTTTACCCATTAAAATGTAAGTAAGCTAAATAAACAATGATACTGGCTAGAATAGAGTTCAATAGAATATAAAATAAGTTATTAATACAAAAAATTATAAAAAGTAAAAATATGAGAAAAAATAAATGTTCCTTCTTCTTAGAAAAAGTATACCGGTGACTCAAAAATAGTAATTATTAATTTACCAAGGTCTAATATTAGACCTAGTTTACCAAGGTCTGATATTAGACCTTGGTAAACTAATAATTATTATGTTTGAGTCACCGGTATACTGTTTCTAAGTAGAATGAACATTTATTTTTTCTCATACTTTTACTTTTTATAATTTTTTGTATTAATAACTTATTTTATATTCTATTGAACTCTATTCTAGCCAGTCTAGCATATTATAATATGGGTAAAATAATAAAAGAGTATGACAAAACTATAAAAACTTTTTATTGTCGTCTCTACTTTTTTGGCCATGGATGTAAGTCTTTTAGGCTAACTGTATTAAATTAAGAATAGATTTGAATTTATGACTGAGTTATGCAAGCAGGTGGGGTTTTTTTATTTTATATACAATTATTAAAATATACGAGCTTAATACAAACATTTTATATAGCAGATATGTGGCAAAAAAAAATCAAAATTGTGTGGTAATTAATTCAAAGATATTATTAGAAGTAGTTTTTAATAATTAAAAAAATTATACGAAATTTTTTATTTTTTGATGTAATATAAAAGAGTTATAAGTTTTTCAAAGCACAAAACTTTTAATAGAAAAAGTTGAATGTTGTGATCGCAATTTGTAATTATCTAAGTTATTCATAACTATTATTCATAACCATAAAAATGATCCAATTTACTAATAATTGGTATATATTGAACGCTAAAAAGTAAGAATTATTTTTAAACTTAAGAAATGATTCTTACTATTTTCAGTTTTTAATTGATGCCAATTTTTGGTAAATTGGATTACTTAAGACTTAAGTAGCAGGGGTAAATACAAAGTATCCGGTATCCGGGGTGGGTGGCGGTGCCTCTACCACTGTGACCCACCCAAAGTGGATGAGTTTTTTTGTAATGAACAACATTAATTAAAGAGATTCAAAATTTGTTAGGAGATGGGAGGGGGAAGATTGATGATGTAAGAGAATAATTTTCAAAAAGTTTATGCTTTTAGATAAAATAAAATACATATACAGTAAAAAAAAAAAAATTTTTACAGAATTTATTTGTCATATTCAATTATTTCTTAAATATTTAAACTTCAAAGACTTTTAGCTGCATTTAGTATTTTTTTAAGTTTAGGTGGCTATAATAGCCTTTTTTTTTAATTTTAACCAATATTTAGTTTTTGGTATAATATAAGGTCTCCATAGGTTATATCTGCAGCAAGTTTGTATTTTAAAATATGATAATTTACTGCATCATTATCATAGAGCTCATTAGCTTTCCAGTACTCAAAACATAAACTTGCTTACCATTTTTACCTTCATTTTTTCAAGTTTACCAAATTGGAAAACCTTTTTGTGCATTTTTTGAATTAAACCATAAATGAAAAATTTTTGAACCATTAATGAAACTTTTCTACCAATTGCTGTATCTGATAGCATTTCGGAGAGATCTGACAATTGATAAGACTCTAGTTAAAATTCTCTTAAAATATGTGATTTTGAATTTAAGATACAATATTTTTCTGCTTTTATCCTCTTTTTTTTTTTGCTTCTTCAACATGTTATGATCAATTAGTTTAAGCTTTATTTCATAAATACTTTTTTCATTTAATTTTCTCTTTTTTCTTGTTTTCTTTAATGCCCAGTAAACAACTTTCATTTTTCATCTTTATTTTATTTATTAATGTAAGCACTAACGTTATTTTTTATTGCTCTTAATTTTGATGACAAAAAACAGTTGGGAGTACAATGTTTAGCAACACTGAACATACCCATGACGTGTTGCATCAAACCCAATAAGTTGGTTGTAGAAATTGCAACTTCAGTAGCATGAAGGTAGCTGATTATACTTAAATCACAAACCATCTCTTCAACTATGCAACAATGTGGGAAATTTCCTATATTCGCAATACCTAAACTTTTAAAAGATTTTGGCAAAAAATTGAAATGCTTTTTGTTGGTATCTGTTTAACAATGGCATCAGATATCATTAATCGTAGCTGTAGTGTAATTTTTTTTTTTTTTTTCTGAAAGGCAAATTTTTATTAGCGGAATCCTTTAACAAATCCACTTTGTCTAGCAAGTTCATATTTTTATTAGCGGAATCCTTTAACAAATCCACTTTGTCTAGCAAGTTCATATTTTTCAAGTTCTAGACATTTTATCTGATTATCTTTAATCAAAATGGTTCAAAAACTAATCAAAAACTTAAATCATTTTCTTTTTCTTATTTTTAAGTCTTATTCTCTTTCAATATTTTTTTAAACATTCATAATCTTTTAATATTAAACTTTTTGCTGAAATTTTAGCAGTTTTTTACCTTAAAATTGAATTTATTTAGTTTTTTTCATTCATTAGTTTGATTTAATCTTTTGATTACATAAGGATAACATAAGATAAGGATAAGCTTTGATTCGTATTTTTAGGTTTGTTAGTTTATCTTTACGAAAGCGTTTTATTTTTGAAATGGATTTATACATAAAGAATAATCTCATTTTTAACAATTAATTTTTAGGAGTATCTTTACAAGTCAGTTCTTTAGTTGCTTTTCGATACACAACAGAAGTAGAAGGTTCATGCAATTTTGTTTGAATAGGTTTATATAAATAACGACAATTTTTATTCTTATTTATATTAATTCGGCTAAGCTTATATAAACAACGACAGTTTTTATTCTTATTTATATTAACACGGCTAAGTTTAAAAGACTTTTAATTTAATTGTTATTTTGGTTAAAACTATTTTTGAAATTTCAGTTTTAGTTCGCGGACGAACGAACATTGTACGTGCAATGACCATACATGTGCCCGCTGGAGAGATTTATTCCAATAATTGATAATTGCAATTCAGATGGTGCATAAGTATTTTGGCCGTTTTTCTTTTCTGTTTTACCCTATACTTTAAAGGAGTCATGTGTTTTTGAATCTAGTCTTGTTTTTTAATTGTCACTTTTTTAATTGTATATCAATAAAACTGTTCTGCTGTTTAATGAAATTATAAAATATCTTCTCTGTTCTTCCAACTAGTCAAGCATCTATAAAACATTTGTATTTTTACTTTTTTTAACTACCTTTCCATTTTTCTTTGAGTTTCAAAGTTTTACTGACCCTCTTGCACAATTTTACTGACCCTCTTGCTCTACATATTAGTGATTTATATTTAATATGTAGAGCAAGATTTTTAATATTTTTTTAAAATGCAATTGAGTTGAATTCAATAAAATAAGATATAAAAATTTTCACTTAATTTTTGATTCACTTTTTATAAGTTTAACACTTTTAAATAACCACTGCGCATCTTTTTTGTTCTTAGTATCCAAAGCTGATGCTTTCAAATGTGGTGGCAGCTTACGAGTAACAAAATTTAATAAAGTCTTTCTTTGTGTTGAAAAAAACTTCTCTACTTTTTTTTTTTGCAATTTGATGCATCAGAAAGAACTTTTAAAACAAGTTTTAACATTTTCAAAAATTCTTTAAATACGTTTAAACATTTTCATTAAAAGTGAGCAACGCGGGTTATATCCACCTTTATTAAATTAATTCAGTTTCTTATTTAAGCTCTTCTTTAACAGAAATTGATTTAAAATAGATAATTTGAGGATATTATAAGATCGAAGGTAATAACAAGAACTTATTTTAGTGGTAAAAAAATTTAAAGAATGAGCAAGATTTACTTGTTTATGATTCCAGACAAATAAATAGCTTAATGGATGAACAAAATCACAAATTTTAAAGAGAAAGTAAAAAATGTTAAAATATAATGTTGTTAAAAGTAAATTGTTTTCAAAGTCTATGAACTAAAATACCATGAGACTGGTTTTATCCCAAACCTAACAAAACGTGATTTAAAACTTGCATAGTATATATTGAGCAGAGTGTCATAATTGAAGTAATAACGAATTTTGACCTTCACACCAATTAATCTACGCAGTTCACTGCAGTTAATTAGCAGTTCATCAGCAGTTTCACTGTTGAGTTTTTAACATAATAGGAAACAGATAGATTTATGTCAGTTTTGATTCCAAGATATTTTCAAAAATTACAGTAAAAATTTTAGGCCATTTTGTCGGAAGTTTAGGTTTTATAGATTTTATATTAACTGGATTAGAAAGTTATGAGTTCAGTTTTAGTATTAAAAATTGTTTTGTTAAAGCGCATCCATAGAAATATATTGGCTAAATCATGATTAGTGTTTTATTAATTTTTTTTAATGCTTTGATCATTATGAGCATATTAAGATCATTTATAAAAATGAGGAAAGACAATTTTTCCCTACAAAAAAATGGCCCTGATACAGAATCTTGGGGTAAACCTATGAAGCATTTTATTGGCAAAGATTTGACATCATTAACAAATACAAGTTGCATTTTTTTTTTTTTAAAGATATGATAAAACTGATTGCAGAGTAAAACCTTGAATACTATAGTGTTCCAATAAACATTGAAGCATGAAGTGATTAACTGAATTAAACGAATTAAAGTCAAGAAACACACCACATACAAAAGTTTATTTTTTTAAAGCATTTATAAAAGTGTCAGTTATTTTACTAAATGCATGAGTTAAGAAGTGTTTGTAACAAAAACCATATTAAAGCTTATAGAGACATTAATTTTTCTCAAGAAAGATAAAAAGTTTGTTTTGTATGGTTTTTTCAAATATTTTACTAATATTGGACAGAAGAGAAACTGTTTGATAATTTTTGTGGTCTGTTAGGGTTTATTAGATAACGCCTTTTCTGAAGAGAAATGACTTTAGCAATATTAATGACATTTGGAAAAAGTCCTCTTTTAAAAAATTAATCAATGGAGTTCAGAAAGACTTGGAAAAAGCGTTAGGAATATATTTAGAAAAAATGTGTGGGGACACTGTTTGGACCTAAACTTTTTTTTTATCATTTTGCAGAGTAAATTTTCATTAAATACACGCCTCATTTTCAGTCACTGGATTAAAAACTTAAGAATTAGAATATGTTAGCATCAACCGTACCGTTTTTAATAGTGTTACTAATAGATTTGAGAATGCAAGATTTAAATGGTGAGGAAAGTTTGATGTTCATAGTTTTTTTTTTTTTTTTTTTTTTGTTGTTGTTTCTTTCAAAGAAGAAGATGTATTATGACTTTTTAGAAGTTCTTAATAAGTTGCTTATTTTATTTTTGTAAAATTTAAATTTATTGAATTGTTGATATTTTTCAAAACACTATCAGATGAATGGTAAGTGAGTATATAAGTATATAAGTTATACTGCGAAGATCAAAAGGTACAATTTAGAATTTGAATTGATAGTTTTATTAGCACCAATATTATAATATTTGCAGTTATTGAGTTAATGATTTTGTTTACTTAAACAAATATTTGAATCTTATTAGATTTTCCTAAGAATTTAATAAAGTAGTTAGTAAAAGAAAATTCTCAGTCTGAGAGTGTGCTAAATAATATAAAAATAGCATACTCTTATTATGCATTCAGTACAGTAAAAAAAAAAAAATATATATATATATATATATATATATATATATATATATATATATAAATATATATTTATATATATATATATATACATATATATATATATATATATATATATATATATATATATATATATATATATATATATATATATATATATATATATATATATATATATATATATATATAAATATATATATATACATAATTTTATAAATATAAATATGAATATATATATATATATATTATATATATATATATATACATATTTATATTTACAAAATTATATATATATATATACAATATAAATATATATATATATACATATTTATATTTATAAAATTATATATATATATACATATATATATATATATATATATATATATATATACAATATAAATATATACATACAATATAAATATATACATACAATATAAATATATACATATACATATATATATACAATATAAATATATACATATATATATATATATATATATATATATATATATATATATATATACTTATATTTATGTTTAGATTTAATCCAACAAAACTTAATCCGAATGAACCTTACTGTAATAACAAATCATTCTAGTTATGAGAAATATACAATAATATGCAGTGGAGCCATACATGTCATTCCATTGTGCAATGAATGCAAGGTTTTTATCTACGTTGCAACATTATTAATTATTCTTTTAATTTTACCAACAGTTTTTTTAAACTTTATTGCGTTTGTTGTTATTATTAAAATAAAAAAGCTGCATACACCATCAAATATATTATTAGCTAGTACAGCAATATGTGATTTTCTAAGTGCTCTTATAAGCATGCCTTTATGGATTGTAACTTTTATACTAGGTCTTCAAAAAAATCATTACTGCGTAGTGTACTTATCTGCTGTATTTACTTCTCATGTTTTGCAATATTTGTCGTTTCTATAGTCAATATTATTTCACTCGATCGATATTTGGCTTTGTTTAAACCATTTTTCTACAAACACCGAGTAAGTGAAAACCCCATATACTACGTTCCTACAATCGTAGTGTTATCCATTGTTGTACTAATTTTAAACGCAGCAAGTTTTATAACCCCTAAACAACAACTAATTCGAGATATTATTTTATTATCTTTGCCATCTTTCATGTTTATTGGCATTTATTCTCACTTCAAAATTTTATACAAAGTGAAAAACATATCAAGAACAAACACTAAGAGGAAACAAAGAATAAGTGATTGTTCGCCACCAACGTCCTCAAAGAATAAAAACAAAAGTACCTTTACTCCATCTACAATTTTTTTTTCGATAAAATCAAATGCAGTAATATGTTCTCATTTTGAGTTGCCATGTGAAATAAAAAACAATGAGAAAAAGTTACAGCAAATTAACTTGAGCTACTTAACGTTTTTTTTATTAGTATCTCTTTACCTCTGCTTCACTCCTTATGTAATGGTTACAGCTACGTGGAAGATTAAACCTAGTACTAAAAATGTTCAATGGATACATGCAGCTTATATCTGTTCATACGCTCCTGTATGTATAAAATCGCTAGTTAATCCTATTTTATATTGTTATCGAGTCAGATTAATCAAGGAACAGATAAAAGGACAAATTTTAAAAATGAAAATGTTTAACAAATAAACTAATATTTCTAGAATATATGGTATTTAAAAAATATATTTAACTTATAAAAAGTATGTAAATTTTTTTTAATTTAATTTTTTAGTTTACAATTATTACATGTTGTATAATATGTACTTGGCATTTTGAGGACAACTATACTGATCTTGTCGCTAGAATCATATAAAAATTGAAATATAAATATAATAAAATACAAATAGTTAAGCTAAAAATAGCAATCTGAAATAGTTGAAAAATAAATAGTTAAAAATTATTTCCCAAAAATATTTTAATATATTATCCATTGAAAAAATAACATTCTTTAACTTATTTATAAAAACCGGAAAGGAGATTGACAAACCAAAATGGGTTGAACAACTTTATTCCAAAAAAAGGTATTCGATAAGTTATACAAAGTTCGCAAATTATATTTATTCTTTGCTTTAAAGGTGCATATAATTTTAAAATTTGATGATAGGTCATTCATAAAACAAAACGTATAACATAAGGTATTATAAATGCTAAGTTCATAAACGTTTAAAACATTCATATCTTTGAATAAAGGTTTTGTATTTGAAAAACGATTTGAAAAATATATTACGCACTTTGCATGTTTCCGATACTGATGACGTCATAACTTACTTTTACCTGTACTTTTCCATGCAATATTAGCATTGTTTTTATCGCTATGAATAAATAAGTAGTATAATTGTTTTAAATTATTTTTATTTAACTAATTTCTAGCCTTATATAGGATTGCAATATGTTGTGCAACTTTTGTTGATATATAATCAATATGAGTTTTCTATGGCAGATTTTCATCACAATAAATACCAAAAAACATAACAAAGAAATCTTCTTTAATTTCTTTATTATGTTCATTTCTAAAAAGTTTAGACAAATCTTTTGGCTAAAGACGTTTTTTTGTTGAGGAAAGGAAAAGAACCCATTTTGTTTCGTGAATTTTGTTTTGTTAAAGGTTAATTTAATGAGTTTGAACCAATTAGAAGTGTGTATAAGTTACTTATTCATTTTCAAAAAAAATTCGTTAATGTCTTTGTCTTATAAAAATAGATTGGTATTATCAGCAAACATGATGCCTATAAAATCAGAAGCTTTATTTAAATCAATAGTATATCGATTACACTAATTATATTCGTCATATTAATAATATACTAGCAAAAAGCAACCCGTAATACGGGTTTTGGTCGGTCTGTTACATAATTAATTTATAGTGGCTGTTTTCCACAATTTAATGTTGCAAAATCTTAACTAATACCCTTTTAGAAAATTTCCTTTAGCTTGAAAAAATTAATCCATCTGTAAAATTAACATAAAAATTATGAGGAGGTAAAATAATTTACCAACTACTACTTAACATTTACAATTACTACTTAACATTATTTGAGTAATTTACAAATGGCATAGTTCGTAACAGTGTAAGACAGAACCATTTTCATCGACCTTCCTAAGTTTAACACAATACGTTTTTAGTTACTGACACAAAATAGTAACACTTCGTCATGCTTTAAATTGACGAAAGTATCAACGAAATCCTTGTAATAATTTTTATAACACAAACCATTAAGATTAAAATAAAGTTAAAAAGAATAAATTATATTATACAGGAGTTATCAATTTTTTGGTATCCCCTTGATTAATTTTTCCTTAGAAAAGTTAATTGTTAACTTAAAAATGTTTAATGCACACATTTAAATAAATTTATTAAAAATAACAAAGTTTATTATAAATAACTAAGCAACTGAGTACAAATACGTTTCAAACAAAAAAAGTTTAATTTACAATCAAACATGGGTATAATAAATTTGAAAAAATATGTAAACTTAATGCATTAATGCATCATATGACAAACCTAAAATAAAAATAATAACAGATAAGTAGACATAAAAATTTGTAAACCAAGCTGACCAGACCCGGGTCTTTTTAAGTCTGTTCAACACAGACCATTTCTATATTATTTGTTTCGCCTCTTTACTTCATTAATTTTTAGTAAACGGTATTTTGCCACCATTTACTATAAATTCCTTTTGTAACTCGAAATTTAATTTTCTTAAATATTTCGACTCTAATAAAGAGGTTTCTCCCCTCTTTTTGCTTTAATGGTGACCAGGTGAATAAAATAAAATAATAAAATGTAAAACAATGATCTACATATATAAGAATGTTTTCTTTCTTTCCTCAAAAGTGTTGCAAATACAGACTAAGCTAACTAATTAGTTGAATACATAAATAAAACTTGAGTAACTCGATATTAATGCGCAAAACTACAATATTCTCCATGTTTTTAAAGGTTTTTAGTTACAACCCCCCATTTACAAAGATCCCCTAAAAATACGTACAACAAATTATTAGGCATAAAATAGATAAAATATAAAATTAACTAATAGCATATATTTATATCTTTTTAACTAACAAAAATTTACAATAAAAAGAAATCAGGTTTTTTTATTTTATAAATCTTATAAATGCGTCATAACGTAATTCTAAAAAAAAAAGGTAATGAAATTATGATATCATAATTACAAAGAAGAACAAAAACAAAAACCAAAACACAATTACCGAAAATCGATTTACCTATTTATAGTAACCTATTTTGAAATAGCAGTTAAAGATTTATCAAAAATGTAACTATAAAATCTGTTTTGAAGTACAAAAGCATCAACAAAACTAAAAAAAAATCAAACTAAGATATAAATTGTTGTCTTGGCTTTTATAGTTTAAACATATATACAACTGTAAACAAATATGACTTTATAACACATATAAACACATTTTACAACTATTGAATGATAGATATATTTTATCTAAAACTATGAAAGAAAAAAAAAAATAATGATAAATAAAGTTATATATACAAAATGAGCTCACAACCTTTAACAGTAACTGGTTTTATTATGTTACCAATAAACAAAATTATACTTACCTTAACTAAAAGTTAATTTCCAGCATTTCTTAATTAAGTTCCAGCTTCTCTTTAACTGTTGACAAATGATTAATATTGTAAATTTCACATCATATTAAATTTGCACAATTAAAACCATGTTTCAACAGTAAGCAAAATAATCAAGTGATGACAAAGACAACTTAAAAAAAATGAACACAATTATGTTTAAGATTACAAATAAAATAAAAAAATCATTAAAAATTGAAACTGTTATTACTTGTTACTATAAATAGTAAAGTTCATACATTAAAATTAAAATATTAAAAATAGTAAAATTCATACTTTAAAATTCATATTTTAAAGTGTCTAATGTAAAATCAAAAAATAGACATCAACACTGCTTGACACTAAATTCTGGCAAAAAAGTTTTCTGTTCATCAAGCAAAATCTCTTATGTTTCAACGACAATTAATTTTATCACGCCTAGATCTATTTCTTTCATATGACAACAATTTTAAGTCACCTATAACCATTTACACTAATAACTTCATCGAGCCTAATATTATACATCTGTTATCATTAAATATATTACCAGTGATTATACTACTGTTACAACTGAATAAATGAATGCTTTACATTTTTACAACTGAAAAATATAAAACAAAATTTTTGACATTATTTTAATTTAGCAAAGAATTTAGACTACAATGCAAAGTTATTTATACCTTCAGGCACAATCTTAATCCACAAAAATAATAAATGCTGAATCTTGTATAAAAAATGAAATATATGTATATATATTTAAATTTTTTCTATTCTTTTTAATTTTTTCTATGAGATAATATTTATATAGATTCAGAGAAATATAAAATATTCTGATATATAGGCACATTTATGTATATACACTTACCTGTCAAAAATTACAGTCAGTTTTCCATGTTAAATACATAAAATATATATCTAAAATAAAATAAAACAAAACATTAAACTTACTCAAATCAGTAACAGTTCGACTGTCTAAAAAATTTTATTATTAACCCTTCTATTTAAAAAAAAACAAACAAATGGTTTGAAGTGACTAAAAAGCACTTTAGCTCTTTCTAATTGCACTAAAAAATAAAATGAATCTTGCTTTGCTAAGTTGCCTAGTTCTTAAGAATCTGAAAACAAATAAGTAAAAAACCAAGAACAAACAAACATTTTTTTATTAAAACTACTCTATTTAAACAAATTAAATTAAACAGAGAACAACATTAATTCTCTTTGAAAGCTGAAAAACTTTTCAGCTCAAATTTGCTTGCAGACCTTGCTTATTAAACCACTTGAATAAAAAAAGCATCAAAAAAGCCTAGAAGCTACTTAAAAATGGTATATGTAACATTGAACTTTGAATGTTAACTGGAGTAGATATATATTTTTAAAAAATTCAAAATTATTTGTTCTTCTATAGCAAATAAAACCACTATAAATCTGAAATTAAAAATGTAACAAATTAGTAAATACAAAAAAAAACATCATATATGAATTGAAAATCAATGTACCTGATAGAGATCAGCTGTTGTGATAACTGAGAGTAGTAGTTGTTAAATATTGTTTTTTCATGATAAACAAAATGTATTTATAGCGAAATGGTCTTGAATGAAGTTTAGTAAATAAATAAAAGCAGTGAGTTCTAGTAATGAAACTACCTATTAATCATTTTTAACAGCTGAAACCATTGTAAAGATAAGCCAAAGGTAACAACATTACGCAAAAAATTATTAAAGATAATGCAATGTGTTTTTAAAATAGTTATATTAAAGGCTAGGCAACACTTAGACCTAAAGTAGTAACATCGCTTGACTCGTAAGGTTGATAAATCTTGCTCTACACGTTTGCCAAGTAACTCCACTTTAAAATCATGGAAACAACATTATATAGACATATATAATTATAAAACACAATATACTTTTTTAATGTTACTTAGCATATAAAAACACCCTATTTAACAATCTTGCACAAATTAGATATAATACATTTCATACTATTATAAAAACATATTTATAAAACAACTATACAACATATATCACCCCATACATGTATTTATCAAAAAATTTTAAACTTTGAGCATAATATACATGCAAACTTATATGCAATCTTTTAACAACTATAAAACAACATTTATTAGCATCAATTATTTTTAATGTAACAAAGAATGAAGATACAATGCACATTATTGTTAATAAAAATGAAGTTATATCAGTCAGTATATATTAATCTAAAGCAATGAAAAAGAAGAAACCATTTAAGAACAAAATTAAAAATTTCTAATAAATACACATTTAGATACCTTAAAATGAAGCATAGAACAACACTCTTTTGACAAATTGCAGAAGAAATTTTCTTAACTTTCTATTCCTTACAGCGCCGTGCTGTAACTTTTGGGGGCCCTGTGCAGAAACTAAAAAAAAATTTTTTTTTAATTTGAATTAATTTTTTATTGATTGTATTTTAAAAAATAATATGTATTTAATAGGGAGCCCAGTGCGATTGCACTTGTTGCACTTGCGATAGTACGGCGCTGATTCCTTATTATTTATCCTTAGAGAAAATATATACATAGATATACAGAAATATAAAATAGACTGAAATAAATCTAAAATCTTAATTTATGTATGAGAAAATAACTTGAACTTACTAAAAAAAGCGATCAGCTCCTCTTAACTGCTCTAAAAAATAAAACAAATACTGATTAAAATGTTTTAAAAAGACTAACGACCAAACGACCAAAATATTTAGATACCTTAAAATGAAGCATAACACAACACCCTTTTGACAAACTCCAGAAGAAATTTTTTTTGTTTTTCTATTCTCAACTAATTTTGCTAAGAGAAAATACATATAGATATACATATATATATATATATATATATATATATATATATATATATATATATATATATATATATATATATATATATATATATATATATATATATATATATATATATATATACTATATATATATATATATATATATATATATATATATATATATATATATATATATATATATATATATATATATATATATACACATAAAAAACTAACAATTATTTAAATTTTTATTTTAAAAAATAAACAACATCAATTCTTCTTGAAAATAAGTGTATCCAATTTGCTTGTTGATTTTACTCGAAAGACCGCGTGGAATATACGTGGAATAACTGCGCCTAAAAAAGTCTAGAAACAACTTAAAAACTAAGAAATAGTGTATTTTACATAATGCAGAACAGTAATTAACAAAACGAACAATAGACGTAACAATGCGTAACTATGCGCACTAATAATATTCATTCGGATATTAATATTGAGATTATTATTATTTACAATATATTCTGTTTGAGTTAAGATATGACAAGAGAAGGCAGAAGACAAAAGTCTTATCATCCACGTTGTATAATTTACATAAATATATATATATATATATATATATATATATATATATATATATATATATATATATATATATATATATATTATATATATATATATATATATATATATATATATATATATATATATATATATATATATATATATATTACAATCTGCAGGAAAGCCATTTTCCAATAAAAAAAAATTACTTTAAAATTGTTAAGTGCTTTTTTTAAAGCAATTTAAAACGATATCAAATAAAAATATTAAACTACCAATTATTTGTAAAAATGAACCGCCAAGTAGATTTCTGAACTTTTTGCAAATGTTAACAGATAGGTAGGAAGTGCTACTTTCACCTTAGTTTACGTAAATGTTTATATGTTTAGCTAGAAACGGGTTGTATTCATTTAGTAACGGTTGATAAAAATTTTTTCAACTAAGCTAATTTTTTGCTAACAACATTTATAGAGTCTGTAATTACTGAATCTTCATTAAGATTATCAATCAACAAATACAGAGGATAGCTGCAACATGGTTGGGAACCTACCACTTCTTCTATTACACAGCCTGGTTTTTATCTGTTTTTTCAAACGTTATGATAATTTTAATTTTTTAGTTATTTTAACGCTGATATTAGGCAAACATTTTATGACGCAATGGCGAAACATAGCATTAAATGAATACAAAATTTACACCTTTATAACAAAAGTTTCCCAATCTTTAGAGTAAACAATACAGCAGACGAATTTTCTTTTTTTTTTCAGTTTTTTTTTTTTTAATTTACAAATAATTTTTAAAAAGCTTTTTTAACTAATTTAACAAAAATTTGATTCCTTGCTGGATGATCTCTTCAAACGCCCTGGTCCTGCAGCAGCTTCTTGTGCATAGACGAGCCGGTATATAATAATGGCATTAAATCAATTTTTTCATTTAAACAAAAATGGCAAGTTTTTGAAAGTGGGTTGTATGGCCGGCAACGCCTAATAACTTTCCATTTAATAGCACAAAATTACTTTCTTTTAAGTCCCATATTTCTTTTTGGAAAGTTCTACGTCGTGTTTATATTTATTGGTGTTAAATGGTTTTAAATTTTTTGCATAACGAACTTTAAATGATGCTGCACTTGAGCCAATATATACTTTGCCTTTATATTCATGTTTATTAAAACATGCTGTTGCTAGGTAAACAATGTTATTATAAGATTGTTATAATAACATTATCTTGTTATAATCAAGATTGCAATTTATAGATATAAAAGCGTAATAAATTTTAAATTTTGCGCAAATTTTTTTTTTCCCCATTTATTGTTTACTTTTATTCTTGATATAGACTAAAATATTTCTTGTTATAAAATTGCGAAACAAAATAATTGGCATACCTCCGCGCCGTCAAATGCGCTCATAATGACATCAAATAAATCAGCTCTTTTTTTAATCCATGTTATTCCGTTAATATTTTTGTGCTTGTATAAATGCGCTATGATATATATATAAATAAATATTTTTTTTTTTTCGTTATAGATCTATAAATCTAACGTCGCTATAGAGATGTCAAAACTCATGTTTTTTTGTTTTTTTTTGTAATTTTTTAAATTCTTTTTTTCAATATATGAATTTATATTTCAGGCCCGTAGCAAGCTTTTTTTGTTGTTTGAGATTATTTGGTTTAGCTCCTACAGTTTAACTGTTGATTGGTTAATATTGTATTAAAATACAAAACTCTCGATCGTAGAAAAGTGCTCAATAATTTTGAAGTTTAGTTTAAATTTTAAAATATAGCATTATATATTTAAAATGAAGAAAAATAACAGTTTACGGGGCTTAAAGTTTCATGTCTTCATTCTAATAGGGAATCATCAGTCATAAAATAAAGGCCCGTAGCAAGCTTCTTTTGTTGTTTGAGATCACTTTCAGACATGGGGCACACTCCAAACATTTGTAAGTTTATGCTTATGCCAGATAAAGAACATTTTTTAAAAATTGAGATGACCGGATCCTTGGAACAAATTAAGCCCACTCTTTGCCCCCCCCCCTTCCTCTCTGCCCTTAACGTGAGAGCATAAAATAACACGAGTTTATAAAATATTTTTTTGAACCATTTTTAACTAAATTTATGTTTATAGACAAATTTCAAACTTCAAGAAAAATCTATCAGCCTTTAATTTTTATGACCCTGCAATTTTTTACAGCCCCTTTAAATTGAGGGGTTCAAACTTAATATTGTCATAGTTTTCGAACACTAAGAGATTAATGATGATTAATTACGAAATTTAAAATTTGTTAAAGAGATTGATTCCAGCGTGCAACCAACTACATTCTGGTTCTCCAGCAAGTAACGTTTTCCTCAACTGTTCAAGTATGCCTTCAGGTTTCTTCCAGCGCCTACTAACTCAGTTGATACAGAGAGAAGTGCCAGTCACTATATACTGACAAATGTACCTCAGCGGTAGTGCTTCACAGACGATAAATAAGCTCTACATGGCATTCAACGCTAGAAATATTGACCAAGAAGCTATTAGTTAGTAGACTGACTATATAATAGTTGAATACGTTTGATGACACTGATTTAAGTGTGTATAAGTTTGAAGACACTTAAATTAACAAAATAACTATTTAAGTGTAATGTCGGCTGGTCGCAAACTTAATATAATTTTGCCACAAATCTTCTAAACATGCCGTGGTTTCTACAATTTTTGCCGTCAATTCTCACTGACCCAATTAATTCTGTTTAAAACAAATTTAAATAAGTAAATAAATTTTCGTTACGTCCGTAATAAACTTTTTAAAACCTCGTAAATTGAAGCAACCCAATGGCCACTGGACGTATTTAAGACGTATGAAAAACATTTTAAAACGTAATAACACGTATTTAAAACGTCTAAAACTTATTTTGAGCCCAATAGGAAGTGGGAGAAAATTTAACAAAAATAACCCCTACGTATGAGTGAAATATTTTACAAAAACCCAAGATTTTCAAAACATTCACCATATTGTCATACATCTATCTCAACTCTATTTATCCCAATCACAACTATTGTTGTTGTTTCCATAATTAGAGAAAAGTATACTAATTTTAAAACCTATTTAAAAAGGTTTTTTAAATTCATTTAATAAACTAAAATCCCTAATCTTAAAAATGATTTCTTCTAAAGAAAATCGCTTTTTAAGGATTTTAAGGAGAGATTTTAACGATTTACGATTAACAATTACGATTTAAAGAGAAACGATTTTAACGATTTACGATTACGATTACAATTAAAGATTAACGACTTTAAGGAAAGAAGATAAAAAAAGCTAAAAATTGATGTCGATGAATGTATGCCATTTCGCATGCCATTTTGCTTTGTCAATAATCAACTGTCAGTTGATTTATGTTGATTTCGCTTTGTCTATCCCCGATGATTTTAATGTACATTATTTCTAAAACAATTAAGTAGTTTATTTTTAATGAAAAATTAATCAAATATTAATTTAAATTTCTAATGGAGGTTTCTGAAAGTCAAATTGTTATTATTTTAAGAACATAATAAGTTGACGCAACGTTTTAATAGAAATGATAATAATTAGTTTGCGTAAAAATAATAAAAAAACTCAGACAAAGAATGCTTTTATTTTAAACTCTTGAAAATCAAAAATAGAAATTAAGTTCAAAGAGAGAAAGAGAACAAGAAATTAAGTTTAAAGAGAGAAAGAGAACAAGAAAAAATCGAGTCAAATCGAGTGCGAACTCACTGCTTTATGACCCATTTTCCCATTATACACATTTGTACGTTTTTGAGAAACCCCATTTTCTTATACCTGCATACATACTTTATTGAAGACCCCTTATATAACTTTTAATCAATGTAATTAAAGAACAAGTTTTTTACTGAAACAATTCGTTATAATAAAAAAAAATTATTCTAAAAAGTGTCTCAAAATTTGAAAATACAATCTCCATGCTTTTGCTTTGGATCTGCTTGTTTATAAACAAATGCTAGACAACTGACCAAGAATCAGTTGTAAAGCATTTATTTATAAAATTCGCCTTTTGTGAATTTGCACAACTTCATCAAAAAAGGACATGTCAAAAATTCTTGATAATATTGAACAATTTCTTCAACATGTTTCTTGATATTTCCAATTCGATCAAATATTTTCAAGATTTATTGAAATTCATTGAAACAAAATATCTTCTAAATATGATCTTTCAAAACATATTTTTTCCTTTATATTGACAATCATTGTTACAACCAAAAAGTTGCGCAATGATCATCCTTACTCATCACAGAAAATTATTGCGAATAAAAAAAACCCGAATTGTAAACGAAGATAGTAATGATGAACTTTTAAAAATAAAAAATGGTTTTGACAGTTAAAAATGTAACTAGGAAACAACGGAATATTTACGTTTTTAACAATTGTTATCTTCCAGACATTCCCAAAATGCAATGAAGTTCATTCACTTTCTTTTTTTCGATCATTTGATGATAATGGTGATATTTTTTATCAAACTGCTTATTGTGGAAATTTAAGCTTAACAATATCGTTTACATCTATAACTAATACCTTTACTTTGTTAGTCGTTAACTTTTGTCATTAACTTTTTGCTTACTTTGTTCTAGATTATCTTTGCGTTCGCACTCGTCGTTTGAATATTATTGCTATCACATTCATTTTTGTATTCTAAGAACATTTTAGCAGCCTTTTATTTATATTCTAAAAACATTTTATTGTAGCATTTTTTAAGTTGCAACGATCGTAACAGCCATATTCATCAACTTTGTAATTGTGCTGTATTTCTTTTCTTTTTGTGTGTGTGTTGTATATATGTATTTATGTATGTATGTATGTATGTATGTATGTATGTATGTATGTATGTATGTATATATATATATATATATATATATATATATATATATATATATATATTATATATATATATATATATATACTTTTTATAGTAGATGTATATATATATATATATATATAAATATATATATATATATATATATATATACTTTTTATAGTAGATGTATATATATATATATATATATATATATATATATATATATATATATATACTTTTTATAGTAGATGTATATATATATATATATATATATATATATATATATATATATATATATATATATATATATATATATATATAATATATATATATATATATATATATATATATATATATATATATATATATATATATATATATATATATACATATATATATATACTTCCGTGTGCATTGCGCAAAAACACTATGGTGTTCAGACTTTGAAAGCTAAGAACTCTTTAATATTGTGTTTGAATATGTACAGCCACAGCTATTTTTTTAATATGTTTGACTACAATCACTGGTAACAAAACTGAAGTTAAAAAGTTAATGATATTGCTCAAAATAAAAACATTTTTAAGAAAACAAAAACATTTTTTTTAAAGAGATATTTTGAAAAACAATATATGTACAACTTTATATAAAATACAATTATTTTAAAAAACAATGATAGTTTAAAAAAGCATTACGAAAAACACTAGTTTAAATTTCTACTTAAATACAATCGCATTCGGGTTTAACAAGTAACGTGAGTTTAATGTAACATGAAGCGTGCGTTTAATGCTATTCTAATTTGAATTGCAATATTAAAAATCCGTAACATTTTTAAAAACTTCTAACTTTTTTAACTTTAATTAAAAAATTATTCCTTTTTAACTTTAAAAAAATTATAGAAATATGGTATAAAAATGGCATGGAGACGCCCATAAACTAATTAAATAAAAAAAAGGGCGGAAGCGGGAAGAAAAATGACTGTTACTGACACTATTCAATAAATTGACATCAAGTTACGTCAATTTGTTTTTGCATATTTAAGTTTTGTTATTAAAAAACTGACAGTTGTTAATGAAGGGTAGAGGGGTGATAATGATGCCTATGGACGTCCCAATAAGAAATAGAAATTTAATAGTATATAAAATAGTTCAGAGTTGCATATTAAAAAGTCCGATTAGAAACTGATATAGTTCAAAATAATTTTATCTGATGAAATAGAACTGAGAATTTCAGTCTTGATTAACATAAAAATGTTGTCAAATCTGAAGCAATACTCTACAAAATTGATAAACAGTATTCATATAGCGTACAAAGTGTTAATATGCTTTTATATCATTCTGGTAATTTTCTGTGAAACAACTAAATATTTTGAAAATCCCATATATTTTCCAATATAGAACTTTAAAAATTCATTGATGTGATACTTCTGTAATGTTTTTTCTCTTCAAAAACCCGTGATCCTTCTTTTAGCCAATGTTTTATTTGCTCCAAGTAATTTCCGATATTCCTTGTGATCGATGCTTTAGGTGCCAAAAAAGCTGTTTCCAGATAATTCTTATGGTCAATGCTTTAGCTGCTCAAATGCTGTTTCCTAAAAAATAAAATCAAATATAGATGCAAAATTGATGTTCGGAAAAGTTCTTACTATATATTTTACTCAAAAGTTCTTATTATATAATTTAGGTGAAAGAACATTCGAACACAAGGCGCAGGTACACAGTTGAATATAAGACATAAGTTAACAAAGCAATTTTTTAAATCAAATTTATTTTAAAAATTTAATTTAAAACAAAAGTTAAGCACCCTAAAACAAAAGCGACACAAAATATCTTTTAACAAAAATCGTATATTTCATACACTTAAAAGTTTAAAGTATAATATTTCAAAGAAAACTGGAAAAACTGAAATAACACAATAATTTGTAATGTTAAAAATAATGATATATATATATATATATATATATATATATATATATATATATATATATATATATATATATATATATATATATATATATATATATATATATATTTGACATTATAATTACATAACAGCTGACAAGACATGCAGTATTTGGTGAAACTTTAATCTACTAAAAAATGTTCTACCAAAAAACCTTCAAGTTGCTAAGAGATTTTTACTGAAAGGCAAAATGATTTTAACAAAGACAAATACAAAAATTAGGCTAAAGGCGTTGTAAAACAAGGCTTCAATTTCAACTTTGCAGATTCAATATGTGGTGAAACGTGTTGACGCTATAAATACTATTGAAGCAGTATTGTGTCGCTCAAAATCCAGTTCTAAACAGTATGCTGATTTCCAGAAGTGCTTTTTGATATTACATTATCAGAGAAAATACGTGTCAAAGTAACATAACAGTTGAATAACATTATGTAGTGGTAGTAGAACCAGGTGGGGAGTATTTCACTCGTATCACTTCAACATCGGGAAAAATTTTCAACTTCAGCAGCAGCATTATCTCAGTCATTTCTGAATATGGCACAAACCATACTGTTTGTGCCAGGTGTTCTAAATTACGCAAAGTGGTTGACACTGGCCAACAGGGTGTGCCAATTGTATATTGCCACTCACAAACATGAACAATCTTCGTGTAATCGCACGTTTCATAGTCAGCAACTACAACCCACACTGATTTGTCATTAAGAGGTCCTCCCTGTTTACCAATTGTGCAAAGCATGTTTACCTGGCAATTCAGCTTCTTAAGGATCTTTACAGTAATACTGTCGCTCACGTGAAAGTACAGTAACACTATCGCTCACATGAAAGTACAGTAATACTGTCGCTCATGTGAAAGTACAGTAATACTGTCGTTCAAGTCAAAATGCATACTTTACTCATAAGGGTGACAATTTTTTTGCAAAAAAAAACACTGCATCTCGTTCTTTTCTCCAACCCTCAGTGATATTACAACTGTTTTTGTTTTATTATAAAGACTAGTAGTAGTGCTAGAAGCAGAAATCGGATGATTTAACAATTAACCATTTTTTTAAAATTTTCTTTGTTTATCGTCAATATTTTTTTACTTCATCAAATGTATCATTTTGAAAATTAAAATGTAATTTAATGTTCAATTTTTTATTAAATGAAGTTACATAGTATCATAGTAACATAGTATTATAGTTACATAGTATAATAACACTACATCGCAAAAAGTTTTACAGCAGTTTTGAACATTTTTAAACTGTTAATAAAATTACTAATAGAAAATTACATATATAGAAAAAAGGCGTAATAAACATATTTTCGGGTAATGGTATTATTTAGTATATTATTTAGTAATGACATCAATTAAATTAAATGATTTGTTTTTTAACTAAATTTAACTATAAAATAAACATTAAACATTAATTATGTAATTGCCAACAAATAGACACAAAGATGCAATCAAGTATTGAAAAGACGGTGAAACATGTTAGACAACTGATTGTTAGTTTTAGGAGAGCCCGTTATCTTCTTAAATCTCTTATTTCTTTTTTACCTCAGAATCAGCTTCTAACTAAAGTGATTTGCTTATTCATTTAAAATTAATAAACAGTTTTGCTAGAATTAAAAGATAAAAAAATTCAAAGATATTTTTTGGTATATAACTTAATTAACAAAATCTTATAAGAAATTATCAATATTTAATTAGCAGTAGATCAAAACGAGTATTACGAGTAAAAGTATTTATGATTATGATTTTTCTTGTCTTTGGGACTTTGAAAAAGTACCTAATTCAATAGTCAAGTTCAATATTACGTGAAGTAGATTCATGATCTGTAACACTTTTAACTTTGAAAGGTTAGTGCGGCCTACTTCATATTTACTGTTAATACTGTTATCTTGTTTGACATTTTTTATCTTCGATGCTGTATTATTTCCATTATATTATATAATATAATATATCGATTATCTGATTGCATATTTGTTTCATTTGATGGAAAAAAAACTAGCATTTCTCACTGTTTAGCTATAATTTGCTCTCTCTTTCTCTAATCTTCTTGTAGAAACCTTTATAGAAATTATAGAAACATTTACATTTCTTTTGCATAATGAAATAAATCTCAAAATATTACGCTTGTTTTTCGAAACCACTGTTGCCTAGTGATTCGGATTCTTTTCGTCCGTCCAAGTCCGAAACACAATTTTTTTAATGCAGTATTTTACATAGTGTTTAATTCGCAAACTTTGACATGAAATGCAAAAGAAAAACAATGTGTTATCGGGAAAACAGAGAATGTGTCTTCTTAAAAAAAGTGAATATCTATGAGTCCTGTGGTTTTAAAAACTATATTATCTGAGAGGATAAAACATTATCAAAATTTGTGAAAATTCACAAAAAATGGGTATTAATGATCGAAGTTGCTAGTTTGGAAAAAGGCCAATAAAGAAAAGTTAGTTAAAAAGTTTCAATTAATCATGGAGACTCTTTTTGACAAAGGAAAATCCACCATTAAAGAGTTAATACAACTCAGTCAAGTTATTCCAAGAAAACAGAAAATAAAGAGGAAAGTTTAGCATTTTTGGAAGATCAGAAAAATGCTAGAACACAGTTTATAAGCGGTCATATAGATAAAGAACTTGAAGCAAAGATTGAATAAAGACAAAACAGATATGGTAGGCATACAGATTAAAAGAAAAAATGTCAATAGAAGGCCAATGGAGATGCATCATAATGATGACAATTACTTAGATTTAGAAGATTTAGAAACCTCAATTAAAAATCCTGATGGAAACTATTAAAGTGAGATAATTTGATTAATAATTTTAATATCATTCGTATGAGATAAAGTCTATATCTGAATCAGATAATTTTTATCATGAAAAAACTAAATTGTATATTGAGACACACATATTGTATATTTCTTTATAGAATAAACTTTGAATGTACTTCATTTTCAGTTTTTGTTAATATTAATGTCCCAGTAGACAGGTGTTGCCCAGGGGACGTCCGTCAGACATGAGACGTCCATTTTCCCATGAGATGATTACAGGCATTGTGTTGAATACTTACCTTTCTATCTTACAATTCAGTCGGACAAGCTTAAAAACTTTAGCTTTCATCAACTTGGTGCCTGTCATAAAGCTAGATTCATGGCAGATGCATTAAATCACAAAACTTTTGGAGTTAACATTGCCAGTTACGATGTTAAATCTTAGATTTATACTTAAATCAAAACAAATAGACTCTAGTCTGTAGAGTTTGTCTAATGATTTGCTATATTTTATGCTTCAGTGTTTTTAAATCCAGTTTTGCTAAACATTCAGTATTGAATGACTTTAATTTATTCAAAGTTGCAAAAATCTCAAAAGAGGATAAAATTTGAGGAGGAATGGGATATTGACCTAGGAACTTCACTTTTAAACAATTTTAAATCTCACACCTGGTACCTTTTGCCTAAAGTAGTAATCATGGCTCTTGCTAATTCTGACCTTAAAAGGCAAATAATTTCTGACACTTTGATGGCCTTGTTGGAGAATGAAGTTCCAAACATTAGTGAAAATAATAAAGAGAAAACACTTCCTGTTTTAGTAGAAGAAAATAATAAAATTTGTTAACTTGTTACCTGTGAAAACTGGTTTCATTTTGTCATTTTGGACTAGGTAAAGGAAACAAAGATTTAGTTGAAAGCATGGCAATATAAAGAATGTTTTGACTCGATACCCTCTACAAAAAATTTGTGCTTTTTATTAAACACCTCCTTGTCATAAATAATTGTGCTGAAAAAACATTGGATTTATACAAAAGTTTGTGAACTCTTCACACTCTGAGGATCAGAAACAAAACGTTTTGCTGGTTATTCAAAAAAACTGAAAACAAATTTTAAAGAATATTTATCAAATCTTGCTAATAGAAATAAATATTGTTTTTGAAATGCAAACATGCATCATTAGTTAAACTTTTTTGTTAATAATCTTTGTTTGACTCGAAAAAGAATTACGCTGACAACTTTGAATATATTGATTTTGCGTAATAAATATTGTATACTTATTTAATAACACTTGCTTCATTGTGCAACAAGTATGGTCTGTTTATTCAAGGTAAAATACAAACAATAAATTCATTATTAATGCAATTAACTGCAACTTTCAGTATTAATGACTTAAAAGCAATAATGTCAAAACTTCAAGATAAAAAATGGGGCATTCTCCATGTCTCGATGTACATGACTAAAAAATTTAAAAATGAATGAAAACTAAGCTGCATTTAAATCTTGCATTTTAAAACGCAAATTGGTTTTTTAAAATAATATAAACACCCTTTAAAAAAATGCCTCAGATTTTGTTGTTCATAATGGATAGTGTCCTTCGGAGGGAACTTTTTAAGGAATATTTTTTTGTGATGCGTGTTTATTTTGTGTTATTTTAGTTAGATTATTTGATAGCTTTTCAAATTTTATAAAATTGGAGGTAGAAAATGCATAAGTCATTTTGCCCTGATCAAGTGACCAGATGTTAAAGTTATAAACTTTTATTTTAAAATAGTATTTCAAATTTTTCTCATAATTATCATCATCATCATCATCATCATCATCATCATCATCATCATCATCATCATCATCATCATTACAATCCTTTGGAATTAGGGTC